CCAATGATCCTTGGTATTTTCTTCAGTAATTTTGGACTAGTGGACATTTAACCTAATGAGAGGTCTGTCTAAACAGATAATAACTCTTCGTATGAGATCTATATTTCACAGTAAAAACATTGTGAACAACTCATAGAAATATTACATATTCTGTTTTACCACAAAAATGGCAGTTATAGCTATTATTCTGATATCTGAGCTTGTCTTAAGACCTCCATTGTTGGTTATACTCTTATAATCTCTTAAGAGATTATAACAAAAAATAACTTTTTAGAAAAAAAAACAGGGACTAACTTTGAATGTAAAAATGGATCCATTAACCATTGGTAACTAAGTATGGGAAAATTGTTGTTTACTCCAGGAAAATTAATTTCTTGGCCAAAACAGTTATTATGATCCCTTTAAGATGACGTGGGGTTACCTTCGACCATTCGGTGCAGGCGGGGGTGAACCTTTTCTGCAGATTGTTTCTCCGATTTGTAAATTTTTAATCCCTTTCTAAAGGTGGCCACCTGAGCAACGGCCAACAGGTGTTGATCCCAAAATAAATGTCAGGGCCCACTTTCATAAAGGACGTTTAGCACTAACCAGCATATAAGCCTAACCAGTGGATAAATTATAACACCTGTTAACTAAATGGTTAAAATTGTGTTTCATAAACAGTGTTTAAACAGTCAGTGAGTTAACTGACATTTAAATATTTTATACAGTTAAATACTGGCCAGTTAACTAACCGCTCATCTCTGGCAGATCAAGGCTGCATGTGTACAAGATCTGGTCATTCATTCTATTTTTGGCTAACTTTGGACAAGTTCAAGGTGGGGGAATATTTTGCTTTCTCCAAGAATTGATTTTGTTGTTTTAATCATCCTTTGTGTTTACACAATTATCTGACATTTAACAAGCACAGGATTCAAATGACTGCGCATACGTGAAAAGTGCGCTGTTTGAAATGAACAAAAGGTGAAGTTGACAAAGCCTGCCGGTGTTTACTGTCTGGTTGATTTTATTTAATTTGCTTTCTGGTATTTTTCTGAGAAATTATAGTAGAAATATTCTGTTGATTGTTTGTATTAAAAAGCAAATCCATCGGACCTTCCTTAGAAAAACATTTATTTTGCCTTCATTGTAAGGGGACTCCCTTCGTATTGACCCATTACAGCCCTCGTTAGCCCTAGTGTTATATGTGGCCCCAAGGGGATTTTCCACCATTTCCCCCCCACTCTTAACAAATAAAATGTTCTATATGCCAGATTGAAAATGATATTGCAAAATGCATTTAAAATCGTAGGAAGGTTAATTGCAGATAATGCTGCGAGGATATTCTTATTCGAGAGTGAACTCAGCCAATATAAAATTTTTAACTTCGTCTTTCAGTTTTAGAGCGCCTGTTCCAATTTTTGAAACCCAGGCAATGGAACCAAGCAATATGATGCAATTTGTAATCTGGTAAAAATTGATATTTTTAAATAAATGTCATAGAATGACATACGTCAGTAGGCAACTCGTTAATTATTGTGATGTTCAATAATAATTAATATAAAATATAGGATATAATAAGTTATTATTCTCAGCTTGATTGATTTATTTTTTTAGTATTTGGAGATTAAAAACACAAAAGATGTCTGGTTTCATGTCAAGGCACCACTTAATGTTCGTGTGCTCATTTAATATCTATACATGACTTAGGGTAAATAATAACAGTATTTGAAATGAGGTAGTTTATTCAAATTAATCAGAAAGTATGCCTATTTAATGATTTAAACCTAAAAGGAATAAGACTTAAGTCGTTCAGCCTCCCAGCTGGTAATGAATGGTAATTGGCACTCTAAAGAAATGTTAATTGAAATTGTTACACATGATCACGTCTGATAAATGGTTACCGTCCAACACAGGGCATCATCCACAGACAAATCTGCCATGCAAAGCATATCACAATGTACCACAAACAGCAAATATTGCTCAAAATAATATTGAAGTCACTGTGGTGAATGGGAATATGTGAAAAAATAAGTCTAAAAGCTTTTTAAAATGACATACTACAACAAATTACTAAATTTTATCAAAAAATTAGTGTAAAGGTTTAAATCAATGTATTCCTAGATAGTCCACCTGTCCTTCCACTTTTATCTGTTCATCTGGTGATGACTAATTGTTGTCCCTAAGAAACCTGTGATGTTGGACGTAGGAGAATGTCGTGGACCTGAGGAAAGAAATTTAACGTTACTAAACAAAAAAAAAAAAAATTATCTTGCCAAAATCTGATCTGAATGTACTAGGAGAACCACAGGTGCATGCACACAAAGCAAAAGTCATTTGAGGAAAAATCAATATGAATTAAAAATGGAAAGACTCCCTTGAGAACAAATTGGATAACTTAGATACTGTTGTTATATATAGCAAAACTATTTCACACCTGAACATGTGGTGGTGCAGACAATGCATAGATCACAGCATCTGCTATATCTTCTCCCTGAAGAACCTGAAGTTGATGTGCACAATAAGATGTTGAGAAGCACTGTATTTACAGTTTACATAAAGTTAAGCACTACTTCACATTCATCTTGAAGGAATAATTTTTTATGACTTTTTTATTATTTGAGGAACTCAAAATTCATGGCTAGGACTAAAAAATCTTACAGGAGCCTTGGAATATATGGCTTTCGCCTTTTCCTCTTGCCCTTCATGAAGCCTGTATGCAAATTCTGTTTCCACTACACCTGGGCTGACTGCCTATATATTGGAAGAAATTAAATGATTATTAAAAATCCATTTCCTTGTGGCCTTCTTTCTCATCATAATCTATGTCACAGTCATTTGATGCATTAGAACAAAAAGCTGGATTTCATAAATTCATTCCTTTACAGGCCCGTAGCCAGGGGGGCTTGAGGGGGTTCGAAAGAACCACTCCTTTTGTTGGGAAAAGGTCCATTCTGGGTAAAATTTGATCTAGGTACATGAAGCTTTTATGGAAAAGGGTCCACTTTTTCAAACAAGAAAATTGCTGGCTACAGGCCTGCTTTATATTCAACAAATTTAACCCACTGCCATGTGATATAGCCCTGTGACCTTCAATCCGAAAAACAACAGTGGAATGCATGAAACTGAAATTGGGATTTTTTAGTCTCTTGATTGAGACTTCTCTCATACTGTCAGTTTTTATCCAGTTGATTAACGATCCACATGGGGCATTGTTAAATCACATGAGAAGACATGAGAACATTTTGAATCAGTTGAGTTTGTCTTCTTATAGAATCTTGACTGGATTTACATCTGAATTTCCTGTGTAATTCAAAGTCAAAATATTAGTACCTGCATGGCCAAGTAAATACATAGGGTAAGATAATCAATGACAGCAAATAAAGTGAGTATACTTCAGATGATTGGGAAAAGTTCTTACTTGGAAGATCTTCAAATGTTTATCATAAGAGGGAAAGTATGAAAACAGCATGCAAGAAAAAAGAATTCTGAAGTTTGAAAGAAGAATTATTCATCTGTGTTTTCACTTGAAACTCCTAACTCTAGCACTGCATTTTTGGCAATTTTTTTAATATAATCAATATGTCTTTTGCTGTGATTGCATCTGGCACTTTTATTTAGTTTTTTTTTTAAAGCATATAAACTTACAGACACTCTGATATTAGACTCCAGTGCTCGACACTCATTTCTCATCCCCTCCAGTATACCACGTACTGCAAACTTTGTGGCTGCATAAAAGTGAAGCTGAGGAGTGTTAGGAACTAGCCTATATGCTCCCATACTGAAATGTAATTGTCAATTTCAAAGTCAACGTTTGGATTTCTAAAAATCTTGCCACCTGTCCTGCCTTTCGAATCAATCATATTAAATCACTTACACTGATTCTTATATTGGTCTTCAGAGCTCGGACTTCATTCCTCAGCCCTTCAAGAATGCCTGTTACAGCATACTTGGTAGCTGAATAGAAATGGATGGCTGCTGATGGTATAACACGATGTCCCGACATACTGAAATATTTGGTGTAAACATAATTTTCTTCAGTAATGAAATTGCATATAATCATGAGTAAAGTGTTTTACTTAAAAAAACAAGAGGATTAAGTAACCCCCTCCATATGTTAAAATTCCACTTAAATGTGTACATGATACTGTACGTCCTATGTGATCTCTGGCACCCCTACCTTACCCTCTACCAGGACCACAGATTAATTTTTCACTAGATATTCCAAGATATCAGTGTGTCCCTGGATAATTCGTAGCAGTTTTTTCTACTGTGAGCAAAGATTTTTGCATGGAAAATTATTTCATCACTGAACTGGCCCCTAGTGTAGAGTACCCTTACCTCCTACTACAGTATGAAAAAATGTTTTGAAAAAAATGATTATGGTACACACATGTAATCTTGGTGAGCTGCATGATCTCCTACCTGCTAATAAGTATTATATGTCCATCATCAACCTTTCTTACTCTCATTGATTTGAATGCTTCACGGCTACAGATGCACAGACCCATTATGTTGACCTTGTTTAAATAAAACTAAATATCAATGATGCAAGTACATTTGTCAAAAACAAAATTAAAGACACAATAAAATACTGCAACAGATATTTGAAAGAATGGAAAATGGTAAGTTTTGAAAACACTATTGAATTCTGCTGTAATTAGGTATTTTATGCTTACAAGACTTTACTTTGCAATTGACTTTCTATTATAAATCAGTATTACATCTAACATGGTTTTCCACTGCTCTGTTGCTCCACTGAGCAATGGTGCATTGAGTGCCAAACCAGCATTATTAATGCACACATCAACACCACCCCAGGTCTGTTTGATTGTTTTGAACATGGACAGTATTTCCTCTTCATTGGAGAGATCACATTTGATTGGTAGCAAAGTTCCATCCTTATCTTTCAGCTCATCTGCCAGGGCCTAAAGTAAAAGGAGGTGCTTTTAAATTTAAATGAATAATTTCATTTGAACTGCTGTCTTTTTCTTCAGTTTGGCCTGCATAAAAGAAAAATAAGTAAGCAATAATTCAGTTAATTTTATATGTGAATACCGAATGCCTGATTAAATATTACATTACTGTCATTCTCACAAATGTAGGCTTCACTGGTAGTTACTGGCACAATAAAAGAATCCAATAGAAAGGAGGAGACACATGAACCCTAAATTATAAGATAAGGAATTGACGCAGCCTGTATTTTCTGTAAAATAGAATTAAAGTATATATTTTTATGTAGTGATCCACATATTGCTTAGTACAAATACGTTTTTACAAAGGTCAGTGTTAAGTAGCTGGGTAAACTGCGTTATCGATCCCATGCCATATGTGTGTGCAAGATAAAATAACGGACAGCAATCTGGGGTACAGCGCCCGGGGTACAGTTCCTGCATAGTGGTTCATTACATTTCTGCGTTGACTACAAGGGCCTACCCCGCACACGATAACTTTAAATTAAGCACATGTTAACCTTAAATTACACAAGCGCTAATAAAAACTACTACCGGTACTTGAAACTAGGGTACAGTTGATCACTGTACCTGTATTTTCTCAACGCCTCTCGCACACCCCACCACCTTCATTCCATGTTGGACAAGTTTTCTGACAATAGCAGCGCCTATACCGACTGAAGCACCAGTCACCAGAGCTACCCTTCCCTTCCAACGATCCATTGCCCAATGGCCAAAGTTGTGAACTGAACTTCGTGAACTAGCAGTACTTGCGTACGTTTTGCAGACTGTCACAATGAAACGCATGTGGGCGTGTATTATCAAGACAAGCTGCGACCACGTCTTTTAATGCTTAGGCCTATGTGTTTTCATTGAAATCGTTTTCTGCATGCTATATGGTTTCTGTATGCTAGTCTCTTTTATCTGTTTTACAGACTAAAAACATATAATAAAAGTATACCACGTGCTATATCATTTAGTGAAAGTTTAGGACCACTTTCTACCTGTAGATAGCTCTGTAGGGGTTAGAGTCGGCTTCGCATCTGCAGGCCACCCCTCTTCAAAGAATCCTGAATCCGCTCCTGTTTTCCACTACGATCTCACATAGGCCCTTACATTATATGTTTGATCCCTTCCTAAAAAGGGCAATATTAAAATGTTACAGAACGCAATGGTCGCATTTTCATCTTTAATACTTAAAAAACGACATCACATCTGAAAAAAAAAAAAAAAAAAAGAATTAACCATTTAGAACCACTTCTGAAATGCTCTTATAGTGAAATAATATGGATTTTATAAAATCTTTTAGGAATTGCCCGTTATATGTAAGCCTATGTAATGCAACAACATGCACTTGGAGATTTGGGCCATATAGCGCAATGTAAAGTGACCGGTTTATCGTTCTCTGCAAATAATAAGACCCAAACCCTGGTTGCTTGTATGGCTGAGAACGACACACCTGTCCCACGTGCATCTTTAGTCTTTGTGTAGAACTATATACCGGTAATTCTGCACTTTAAACATGTTACCTAGTCAACAGATTGTTTCAGTGGCGTTCTTCGTGGCAGTATTCTTCCCTCAATGTTTTTGTAAGACGGAGAGAAGTTTAATGCGCGTTTTGAGTGAAGATAACGAGGTTACCGTTCGCATATACAGCGATGGAGCTAACACTGTAACAGCGTATTTCATCGCCAAAGATGAGCTGGTAGACTGTACTGTAATGCGTGCAAACACCACCTTGGCCAACATACTGTTTTCTGAGGTATCGTATCGGTGCTCACCTTCATAGGTTATAACATAAATAACATAATGTAGATGAAACAGAGGTGAAATGTAGCAATTTTAATAAGAAGCCACAAATATTTGTCAAGCAACTGTTTATAACATTTAAAGAAAACTAATAATATTCTGTAAAACTGGCATAAAAATGAACTGCATACTTAGATGTGCTGTTCCTCGGTTGCTTCTAAAACGTTAAGTTTTATAACACTTCCACAGAGTTTGACTGACCAGACAAACGTCCAATCCCTACAACATCAGACCTTGTTAGAAATGGACGTTCTGCGCTTGGCGAGAAGATGTAATAAATTCCATCGGGATATGGTAAACCATACTGTCATCATCAGCTGCTTTTAACATGAGAGAAATTACAAAGACGTTAGCCATAAGCCAGTCTTGTATGCGTATATTTAATAGTGAAATAATTTAATACTAGAAAAGGGCACTTTCCTCCTTTTCGCGAATTTTCAACTTTTTAAGTGTAAAATGGTGTCCAAAAACAGCTGGATTTTTGATGAATTGTTATAAGGGGAAGATAACGGGGCTTCTACCTCTTTGAGCCAGTTCAGATTCCGAAAGTTGATTAAAAAATTACCGAAAACCTACTTATATCGCAAATAACTAACTGTATCATTTTGTTTTTGATGACAGAGACGAAAATTGTTAAATGACCCATCATCGATTCCACGGCAAGTTAAATCCAGGCAATTGCTGAACTCGAAAATCCAAGGTATGGTAATTGCGTGCAGTGCCATTTTACAACTACACCACGTTAACAATCTCTGGGAGCGGTCAGCTCACGGCTATAGAGGTTAAGGTTCCCTCCCCGTTTTGGGGTTGTCACCAGTAGTCCGCCAACATCATCAATCCAAAGTTGCACAAGACGTAAACAACAATCCAGCAATCATTGTAAATAAAATGACATTTGGTTTAGATAATCTAACTTTTTTCTCAAGGAACCAGGTGGTGCGGGCGGCGTCCAGATCCAAAAGCTAAGCTTTCTGATGAAAAGACGGACGCATGCTGCCGTGCTCTACACAACTGTAAGGAAATCATCCCAGGTACGTGTTGAACTTTTAAGAAAATCTAAATGATTGTTTCCACACAACAGAAAATAAGTAGATTTGGCAGATTTCTGTTGTTAAAGTATTTCCGTCATTTAATACATAAACATTAAATATTACTTTAGGTAACAGCAGGTCACACGAGTTGTACAACTACGACAACTATACGCTTCCGAGCTGTAAATGCGTCCATGCCTTCCGAAGCTGCCTGAAGAGAACCGACAGTGAAATGTCAAAAACAGTTGGAGACGTGTTCTTCAACTCATTTAATTGTTTCGAATTGAATGAAAAACAAAAATGTGTTTCTTGGGATCGTTGGTTTATTAAGTGCAAAAGACATGAAAAATCCAAGTTTGCAGTGAGAAAACAAGTTTCAAATTTTTAACCATTCTCAAGACTTTGGTAGTTCGAAGTACTATTCCTTGAACGACTGCCCTCGTACGCGTAAACCAGAATTCATTTAATGGCATATACGTACGGTCGTCAGAATTAATGATAAATAAATTTATTGGCTATAATCTCTCTCTCTCATCTTGTATGCTACTGGTCAAAATTTGTTTTAAAAACATGGTTACGTCACCTCATATCCATGCCTTTGATGAAGACTCATCTTCGCCTATTTGGCATAATGTTCATATGGTTGGAAAGATGAACTAGCCGGCAATATGTTAACAATTTATTACCCTACCGTGAGTCTAACTCAAAGAGGATATAAATACTTCTCTGTAAAATAATTTGAAGGCAAGAAACACCTGGTGATATATATGACTGTTGTACCACACCTAATAAACATAAAGCAAATATATTTACAAAGATGTAAATGTATTAGCTTTCGATCAAGTAATGTTTTAAATATAAATTACAACAACGTGTTCTATACAAAAAACAAGAGGGGGGTATTCTATATTGAATACCATGCACTGATCTCGTATGTTTGGATGTGGTGCGTTGACATGGTGTAATTACATGGGTGAAAGTTGTAAACTGAAAATCCTGAAAACGTAGCTTGCAATTTTTCACTGCATAAAGACCATATGAAAAACATGTATCAAAGTGAAGATTGAAAACCCTGAAATCGGGCATTATCCTGAAAACTTTCACCCATGCCAGAAGAAATCTCAACACAGTTTCCTTTACTCAGTGCCATCAACCCGGGAGGATCGCAGGGCATATTCTGAAATGAGAATTGAAACAAAAATAAGTAAAATCAGACAGATAAGACGCATTTAAATGAGAGAAAATTGGAGCGCATTGTATTGTTCAATACTGATAAATATCTTGCGTCTAATATCTATCAAAATACTTCTGTACTCAGAAAAGCAACATGATTTACTCACTGGCACTGTTTCTACGAGAAGCGGGTGGAATGCCGGATTTCCTTCTGTGGCCCTCCGATGTTTCCTCCCTAGTTATATACATGTACAGAAAAATCAGTTACTACGAAAAAATAGTTAACTGACAAGCCAAAACTGTTGCCTGAGCTCATAAAAATGTGTTTAAATCTAGTTAAAAATAAAAATTACAGAAATCTACCTAAACATTATAAAGATACTACACTTTGACAAAAAATACCTTGGCTGTCCAGTATCGGATTTATCCACTTGTTCCATTACAGGAATAACGTCGTTGGAACCCTGAAATACCAAAATATTACTATACTGAATAAACTGTCCACTTTAAAAATGCCCTCCAGTATTAAATACAAACTTAATAGTAGGTAGGAAGGCTATAGATAACAATTTCTTGTCACTTTAAGAGAAACTGTGCTTTACATATTTTATTCTTATTTCACACGATGAAATCTGACAAAGTGAATCATTTATATCGTCTTTTTAAATGATAAATGCACGTTTTCATGAGTTCTACTCACTTTCATTTTTGAGACCTCATCATTTGGTTTTTCTTTCAGCTTCACTGGGGTTCTCGTTCTTTTGGAATGCCGCTTTGGCAAATCCTTTCTATAATCCAATATAGTGATATCCATATTATCAGCCTTGGAACTGGCAGCAGAGCATTCAGATATAGTTCTTGATCTTAGAGTTCTAACTGCAGTTACACTTTTTGAAATGGACTCTCTGTCAAGTTTAGATACTTCATTTTTACTATCTGGCAATGATCTGGTTATAGAACTGGTATCAGTTTTTCTCAGCTTTGCTGGTGACAACTCCACATCTGATGTAAAATCATACACCTGTAAGCCAGAAGCACCTTCCACACCAGACATACTGACCAATGCTTTAGTCATTTCTCTTTTGGGACGTTCAGACTTTCTTGTTCCTTTCATGGCACTATGTGGTCTTAACCGTCTTTTTATAGGACTAGGAGATAACTCCAATGCTTTTTCTGGATTTCTTTTAATCTCTGCTTGAATCTCAATTTCTGGCGATTCTTCTCTTTCTTGTAAATGTTCAATCTTTTTCAAATGCTGTGATAAATCTGGGAGTGAAGCAACATGTCTAGTAGCAGTATGTTCAATGTCCGAGCTAGAGTCAGGTACAGTTTCCAAGCCAGCGTCAATAACATCTTTCACAGTTTCTTTTGTGGTTAATGACTCCACATCTTCTTCTTCTCCAAATTCACTACCATTTCGGGATAACTACAAAAATTAAAAATTATACACCACACCTTATAAATGAGAAGAAAACCAAGTGTTTTAAAGTGAAACATAGAATTATTTGTTTCTTATGCATAATCGAAAAAACTGCATTTATTTTGAAATAAAAATTTTCTCCAGCATTTCTCCAGCCAAAAAATCTTTTATCGAATTCTTAATTATGTTTATAGTGCGGATCTATTACCTCCAAGAAAGAGCTTTAAACTGTCCAAATAACAAAAAGTGACACTTACCAACACCACATCCTCTTCAGACTCAGAATCCATGTTTAGGATTACACTGTTAATATCTACCTCCATTACTTCCAAATCACTCTCATCTTTATCCAATCCTTCAGTCTCTTCGTTTAAAGTTTGAAACTCCCTCTGTTAAAATTAGAATACAGCTGAATTTACAAATTAGTAAAATGAACTATTACATCATTTACTCATTTCTTACCACAATAACAAAGTGAAAGTGAGACACTTTATACTTAAATTTTTATATCAAACGATTTTCAGACAAGTCATAATAATATTCAAATTTCTAATAATTGGAAGATCTTGTGTTGGTAGTCATCAATATTTGTTTTTAAACAAATCTTACATAATATGTGAAATCTAAATCACATCTTGTTCAAACTGGGTGGTATATTCTCATATTTTTACAGGTAGAAAGGTGTGTAATTTTTTAACTCCATACAATCTGAAATCCCAACATATATCTGTGCAGCCATCAATTATTTGCCAAGTCTGCATAAAAATAATTAGTCATTTCTGTTTTTGCTCATAGATTTCTCTTCAATGCCACAAATTTCATTACACTGTTTAATACCTGCATTTCTGCAGCAGTTTTCTTGTCAGCTGTAGTATCCACAAAGAAGGTGAGCTCCTGGTCTGCAGTTGCACCTTGATCATCCTTGTGCAAAGTTGAATTCTCACCATCTACACTGCTATTATTTTCTTTCTCTGTGACATGCTGTTCTGTCATTATCTATAAAAAGAAGCAAAACATCTAACAAGTTAATCATGTTAAAACTACAACCACAATGACAGCAGATACAACTTTTCTCATCAAACACACAAACCTTTTATTTACTTTTAGCAAAACAAATGATAGATATATATATATATACTATTATCACTGTTACCATGTTAATTATTTTTAATGTAGTAAACACATTATATCAAAGCACACATGGAGTTAAAAGACAACTAAAATATCAGTGCAGTCAAAATTGAAGACAACTTCTAGACACATACATCCAATAACTTTTCCAGCAGTTCCTCATCTGCTTCAGCTGGATTCAGCAGAAATCGACTTATGTGGATTCCTTTAAACTTTTTAGTTTCTGGCAAACTGTCAACAGCAACTGCGTGGTTCTGCCTCAGCCAATCCATGAAGTCAGGAGGTGCTGGTATACTTTGGGCAACCTAAAATACCACATTAAGATATGCTGAAAAGTGTCCCAAATGGAGGGTTATAAAATCATACATCTACATTAGTTGAACACTACAACACAAATCATCAAATCTCTATGAAAATGACAGGGCTCTTGTCAAGATGCCCCTTAAGATGAGCAAATTTCTTCAATTTCTTTTCACATTGTACCAGTATTGTTAAGTACACATATATTTTACAACACAAACAAGCAAATATGTACCCGCAGTATTTCTTGTATATTGACTTCTCCTAGACTTCTCATGGCAAAGCGAACAGCCACCATGTACTTTGAGTACCATGCACATGTCTCCTTAGCAGGAGGACTTGACAGGATCTTCCTAGAATTAAAATAAGGGTCTTACCTTTTTTAGCCCCAAAATATCAATATTTTTTAATATATTTGAAAACTTATCTTTGAAAGCATTGATTATTGGTAGCAACAATCAATTTACTTCTTGTAAGTCCTATCTTTTACAACAACTCGAAAACCTGGAGTGTAAAAGAAAAAAAAAAAAAAAAAATAGACCTGAAGAGGGGTAATATCACATCTTTATCCATTTCTTCCACTGCCTCCAACTGCAGAATAACATCTAGGTAGTGTACAGGTGAATTTCGTAACAAGAAATGCACAACAAATGCCACGTGTTCACCAAGTTCAAAATCCTCCTCCACTTTCCTAAAGAAAAGACAAATTAAGCTAATGAGAAAAATGTACCACAGCACAGACACTGTAAAATGAATTTGCACTTTTACACCCTTTTCATTTTTGAGAAAGGAGAAAGCAAAAGACAGCACATAATAGACATCGTCAGGCTCAGATATCACCATTCAGTCATTTCAGTTCAGACTGGGGCGGTATTCATATCATCACAGATAATCTGATTTTGCATCATCATCTTAAATTCTTCTTAAAATCATTGAAGTATTACTTCAGTCATTCATTCCAATACCTTATTAAAGTCTCTCTAAAACATTATGTTACCATGCTATTATATTACAATTCTTTTACAAAGCATTTTCAAAACCTTTTAAATATGAATGCTTACATATTACATCAAATATCTATAATAAATTCTTCATGTGGTAACAGTCAACACATTATATCAGTTAATGTACCTGTTTAACACCAAGTTGAGGTCTACATACAAGCTCAATAAGCTAGCCATTAAGTCTGCATAGGAGGGCTTATCGAAACACTGAAATCAATACAAGTAAAAACATAAGTAAAACAACTGAAACAAAACAAGCCATGCTAATCAGAAATATATGTGAATTATAATTTTGTTAAAAAAAACATGTAAACCAAGTCACAAATAATTGCAATTATTGCTGTGAAATGTCTTACCTGATTTAGATCTTTATTTTTGAAATGGAAGAACACCAAAAGGTTCAAAATTTCTCTTCTTAAGGACTTTCCACTGCAAGAAAATCATATCATACATAGAATTGCATTCAAGTGTT